TGTACACATTCTTACACATTAGTACCACCCACAGGGTTTTGGAACACAACCAATAAACACATACAATACACTCAGACACTCCCACACAAAATCCTCCCCTCTGCATGTGATTCAATTACCTTACACAATGGGTAATGTAATTTAGCACAAGCAGAGAAATACAATTTTTCCACATTATTCATAACTTGAAAAGTATGCATCACATTCACATACCAGTTCCACAGAGTCTTCTATCCTGGAGATAATTAGAAGTAATCCAATTATCTCCAAAGACAGAGGCAAAACTCCATTGAACACATGGCAGCAAAAAGACAGTAAAATACAATAAAATACACAAGGTTACATTTATGACATAAAATACAGACATGCAACATATGCCCAGATAGCTTAGGTCTGAACGCACATTAATACTGAATGGCGCTCAGATCACACACATACAGTTCAATTGCCATGGAGCCAAAGTCTTTTATTACATGAATAGGCTCCATGGCATACCTATCTGGGTTATATGAGTTCATGCAGTAAATCAGAGAATCTACTGAACAGCGGGCAGAAAAGCACGAATAAGTCTTTTCTGCAGTGAAAAAGATGTCTTTTAACATGGGGCCATAGTCCAAAGGCAGCAGGCGAGCAACCAGGCTTCTCCAATGCAATGTGGCGAGATTGGTCTCGTCACACTACCCTAGCTGTACATAAGGTCGAGACCCCTGGACAGACCCCCTTACGACAGCCGCCCTATCGTATCCCTGAAGCAGTCCGAGAAGGAATGCGGAAGGTGATACAGGAGATGACCCAGCTTGGGGTCATCGAGCACTCCGACAGCCCTTGGGCCTCGCCTGTACCCGGTTCTGTGTGGACTACAGGCGACTCAACGAGCGGACCACCACTGACACCTACCCGATGCCCCGGGTAGACGAATTACTGGATCGTATTGCCAGGGGGCGCTATCTGACCACCATAGACCTGTGTAAGGGCTACTGGCAGATTCCCCTGGCCGAGGATGCTATCCCCAAGTCGGCATTCGTCACCCCATTTGGCCTGTACCAATTTAAGGTCATGCCTTTTGGGATGAAGAATGCCCCGGCTACCTTCCAACGGATGGTGGATAGATTGGTGGATAGACAAGAATTTGCCTGTGCATACTTGGACGACATTGCGATCTACAGTGGGTCCTGGGAGGAACACCTGGTTCATGTAGGGGTGGTACTGGATAAGATTCGGGCCGCTGGCCTGACATTGAAGCCAGAGAAGTGCCATTTAGGGATGGCTGGGTCACAGAGTGGGATGTGGGATGTGGGAGCCAGAGACCAGAGCCAGCCAAGGTAGAGGCAGTGGCTAACTGGCCCACACCTACAACCAAGACCCAGGTATTGGCCTTCTTGGGGACGGCAGGGTACTACCGACGTTTTGTCCCTGACTACAGCACTATTGCTAAGCCCCTGACAGACCTGACGAAGAAGAACTTGCCTAAGCAGGTCCTGTAGTCTCCAGCTTGCGAAGCTGCGTTCCAGGCACTGAAACAGGCTCTTGTGAATGCCCCTGTCTTGGATGCCCCAGTCCCTAACAAACGCTTTCTCATCCATACAGATGCTTCCATGTATGGACTGGGGGCTGTGCTGAGCCAAGTCGGGGAAGATAGAGGAGAGCAACCTGTCGCATATCTCAGCCGAAAGTTGTTACCCAGAGAAGTGAGTTATGTGGCAGTGGAGAAGGAGTGCTTGGTCTTAGTCTGGGCATTGATAAAGTTAAGTCCCTACTTGTATGGGCAAGAGTTTTCCCTGGTGACTGATCATAACCCACTCATCCGGCTTAACCGGGTCTCAGGGGACAATGGTAGACTGCTGAGATGGAGCTTGGCACTACAGCCCTACAATTTCATCATCAGCTACCGACCCGGTAAGCAGAACGGGAACGCAGATGGGTTATCCAGACAAACTGACGTCTCCACCACCTCTTAGTCCGGTCATCCCCAAGTTGACCCGCCACAGGGTCAAGCTGGGTTCTGCCGGAGTGTCCCACAAGGGGGGAGCCGTGTGACAGAACCATCTGTCTGTCTATTGTGGTGGATTCGTCTATTTCTGCCCCATTTAGTGTAAATGGCTGTTTCTATAGCCCAGCCATACGAATGACTGTTTTCACCGAACAAATTCATCGAACGGATGGCCACCCAGAAGAAGAAGTGGCTATAGAATGATTATAATAAAATGTACCAGTGATAGAATTCTCAGTTAGTGAATAACCCGGCTATAGAATGATTATAATAAAATGTACCAGTGACAGAATTCTCAGTTAGTGAATAACCCGGCTGTAGAATGATTATAATAAAATGTACCAGTGATAGAATTCTCAGTCAGTGAATAACCCGGCTATAGAATGATTATAATAAAATGTACCCGGGATAGAATTCTCAGTCAGTGAATAACCCGGCTATAGAATGATTATAATAAAATGTACCCGGGATAGAATTCTCAGTCAGTGAATAACCGGGCTATAGAATGATTATAATAAAATGTATCAGTGATAGAATTCTCAGTTAGTGAATAACCCGGCTATAGAATGATTATAATAAAATGTACCAGTGATAGAATTCTCAGTTAGTGAATAACCCGGCTATAGAATGATTATAATAAAATGTATCAGTGATAGAATTCTCAGTCAGTGAATAACCCGGCTATAGAATGATTATAATAAAATGTACCAGTGATAGAATTCTCAGTTAGTGAATAACCCGGCTATAGAATGATTATAATAAAATGCACCAGTGATAGAATTCTCAGTTAGCGAATAACCCGGCTATAGAATGATTATAATAAAATGTACCAGTGATAGAATTCTCAGTTAGCGAATAACCCGGCTATGGAATGATTATAATAAAATGTACCAGTGATAGAATTCTCAGTTAGCGAATAACCCGGCTATGGAATGATTATAATAAAATGTACCAGTGATAGAATTCTCAGTTAGTGAATATCCCGGCTATAGAATGATTATAATAAAATGTACCAGTGATAGAATTCTCAGTCAGTGAATAACCCGGCTATAGAATGATTATAATAAAATGTACCAGTGATAGAATTCTCAGTTAGTGAATAACCCGGCTATAGAATGATTATAATAAAATGTACCAGTGACAGAATTCTCAGTTAGTGAATAACCCGGCTGTAGAATGATTATAATAAAATGTACCAGTGATAGAATTCTCAGTCAGTGAATAACCCGGCTATAGAATGATTATAATAAAATGTACCCGGGATAGAATTCTCAGTCAGTGAATAACCCGGCTATAGAATGATTATAATAAAATGTACCCGGGATAGAATTCTCAGTCAGTGAATAACCGGGCTATAGAATGATTATAATAAAATGTATCAGTGATAGAATTCTCAGTTAGTGAATAACCCGGCTATAGAATGATTATAATAAAATGTACCCGTGATAGAATTCTCAGTTAGTGAATAACCCGGCTATAGAATGATTATAATAAAATGTATCAGTGATAGAATTCTCAGTCAGTGAATAACCCGGCTATAGAATGATTATAATAAAATGTACCAGTGATAGAATTCTCAGTTAGTGAATAACCCGGCTATAGAATGATTATAATAAAATGTACCAGTGATAGAATTCTCAGTTAGTGAATAACCCGGCTATAGAATGATTATAATAAAATGCACCAGTGATAGAATTCTCAGTTAGCGAATAACCCGGCTATAGAATGATTATAATAAAATGTACCAGTGATAGAATTCTCAGTTAGCGAATAACCCGGCTATGGAATGATTATAATAAAATGTACCAGTGATAGAATTCTCAGTTAGCGAATAACCCGGCTATGGAATGATTATAATAAAATGTACCAGTGATAGAATTCTCAGTTAGTGAATATCCCGGCTATAGAATGATTATAATAAAATGTACCAGTGATAGAATTCTCAGTTAGTGAATAACCCGGCTATAGAATGATTATAATAAAATGTATCAGTGATAGAATTCTCAGTTAGTGGATAACCCGGCTATAGAATGATTATAATAAAATGTATCAGTGATAGAATTCTCAGTTAGTGAATAACCCGGCTATAGAATGATTATAATAAAATGTATCAGTGATAGAATTCTCAGTTAGTGGATAACCCGGCTATAGAATGATTATAATAAAATGTATCAGTGATAGAATTCTCAGTTAGTGAATAACCCGGCTATAGAATGATTATAATAAAATGTACCAGTGATAGAATTCTCAGTTAGTGAATAACCCGGCTATAGAATGATTATAATAAAATGTATCAGTGATAGAATTCTCAGTTAGTGAATATCCCGGCTATAGAATGATCATAATAAAATGTACCAGTGATAGAATTCTCAGTTAGTGAATAACCCGGCTATAGAATGATTATAATAAAATGTATCAGTGATAGAATTCTCAGTTAGTGGATAACCCGGCTATAGAATGATTATAATAAAATGTATCAGTGATAGAATTCTCAGTTAGTGAATAACCCGGCTATAGAATGATTATAATAAAATGTACCAGTGATAGAATTCTCAGTTAGTGAATAACCCGGCTATAGAATGATTATAATAAAATGTATCAGTGATAGAATTCTCAGTTAGTGAATATCCCGGCTATAGAATGATCATAATAAAATGTACCAGTGATAGAATTCTCAGTTAGTGAATAACCCGGCTATAGAATGATTATAATAAAATGTATCAGTGATAGAATTCTCAGTTAGTGGATAACCCGGCTATAGAATGATTATAATAAAATGTATCAGTGATAGAATTCTCAGTTAGTGAATAACCCGGCTATAGAATGATTATAATAAAATGTACCAGTGATAGAATTCTCAGTCAGTGAATAACCCGGCTATAGAATGATTATAATAAAATGTACCCGTGATAGAATTCTCAGTTAGTGAATAACCCGGCTATAGAATGATTATAATAAAATGTACCAGTGATAGAATTCTCAGTTAGTGATAGAGAACTCTGATTCCCACATTAAAGATGGCGGACTCGGCCTCCCAGACCCATCACGTGACTCTCCCCAGACGTTGTGCGTTTCAAGCCTCGCTCTGAGACGGAGAGACGATGAAGACTCTCATTGGTTGCAGTAATCTCACCGTCGCCATGGCAGCCCCTCCTGGCCCCGCCTTCCCGGTTAAGATGGCGCCGGTAGCGATAACCGTCTGAGCTGGAGGCCGGGAGCCCGAGCGACACCTACCGGCCATGGCCTGCCGGCATCCACTCCCGTGAGTGACACTCACTGAGCCCCACTCACTGCCCGTAACATCCACTCACTGAGCCCCACTCACTGCCCGTAACATCCACTCACTGAGCCACACTCACTGCCCGTAACATCCACTCACTGAGCCACACTCACTGCCTGTAACATCCACTCACTGAGTCACACTCACTGCCCGTAACATCCACTCACTGAGTCACACTCACTGCCCGTAACATCCACTCACTGAGTCACACTCACTGCCCGTCCACTCACTGTGAGTCACACTCACTGCCTGTAACATCCGCTCCTTTAGGCCCCACTCACTGCCTGTAACATCCACTCACTGAGTCACACTCACTGCCCGTAACATCCACTCCCTGAGCCACACTCACTGCCTGTAACATCCACTCACTGAGCCCCACTCACTGCCTGTAACATCCACTCACTGAGCCCCACTCACTGCCTGTAACATCCACTCACTGAGCCCCACTCACTGCCTGTAACATCCACTCACTGAGCCCCACTCACTGCCTGTAACATCCACTCACTGAGCCCCACTCACTGCCTGTAACATCCACTCACTGAGTCACACTCACTGCCCGTAACATCCACTCACTGAGCCACACTCACTGCCCGTAACATCCACTCACTGAGCCACACTCACTGCCTGTAACATCCACTCACTGAGCCACACTCACTGCCTGTAACATCCACTCACTGAGCCACACTCACTGCCTGTAACATCCACTCACTGAGTCACACTCACTGCCTGTAACATCCACTCACTGAGCCACACTCACTGCCTGTAACATCCACTCACTGAGCCACACTCACTGCCTGTAACATCCACTCACTGAGTCACACTCACTGCCTGTAACATCCACTCACTGAGTCACACTCACTGCCTGTAACATCCACTCACTGAGTCACACTCACTGCCTGTAACATCCACTCACTGAGTCACACTCACTGCCTGTAACATCCACTCACTGAGCCACCTGCACCTGTAACATCCACTGCTGAGCCACTCACTGCCTGTAACATCCACTCACTGAGCCCCTCTGCCTGGCAACATCCACTCACTGAGCCACCTCACTGCCTGTAACATCCACTCACTGGGTCACACTCACTGCCCTGCTAACATCCACTCACTGAGTCACACTCACTGCCCCTGTAACATCCTCACTGAGTCACACTCCTGCCTGTAACATCCACTCACTGAGTCACTCACCCGCCACTCACTGAGCCACACTCACTGCCTGTAACATCCACTGCACTGAGCCCCTCACTGCCTGTAACATCCACTCACTGAGCCCTTTCACTGCCTGTAACATCCACTCACTGAGTCACACTCACTGCCTGTAACATCCACTCACTGAGCCACACTCACTGCCTGTAACATCCACTCACTGAGCCCCACTCACTGCCTGTAACATCCACTCACTGAGCCCCACTCACTGCCTGTAACATCCACTCACTGAGCCCCACTCACTGCCTGTAACATCCACTCACTGAGCCCCACTCACTGCCTGTAACATCCACTCACTGAGCCCCACTCACTGCCTGTAACATCCACTCACTGAGCCACACTCACTGCCTGTAACATCCACTCACTGA